CAGATAGATTATGCTGATTATCATAACCTGATCCCTCTTTATTTTTTCTTTAATCTCTTCCTAGTAACGTCCCACAACAACCAGTGCACTATCATTGCTGCCACATGAGTTCTCTCATGCCATTTTATCTGAACAAATCGATCCCTAGTAAAGTGTATGCTCAAGCACATCATCAATAACTCCGCTCAAATCAATGGAGCTGTGTGCTGCTGTGTGAAGCCAGGCAGAGATGCATGCATTGATTCACAGCCTTTTAGGCAAGGGTTTTATTGCAGTGTGTTCTGAAGAGGTTGCAAAGCTGCATGCACAGCCTATTAGTGTTTTCTTATTGCTTCATTTTCTTATTTTCCTTGTTGCTCTTATTATTATTCTTTGTTTGTCACTGGCATTGCAGAAGGTTCTGGAAGGCCCATGTGTAAACCTCTGCAGAAACATGAAGGAGAAGGATTTTTCTGTAATGGACAGCTTACAATATAATGTAAAACTAGATTAAGCAAATCTCACCTAGGAAAAATGTAAGGAAGGGCAGGACTAAACTAGGGTTTTAGTGTTGTTTTTTTTCCCAAGGGAAGGATTGGGTAGTTCTAGCAGCACCCCCAGCAGCAATCACCTTAATTACCATCTCAATCAGTTGCTGTGCATACAAGAGTCATTCTGGCTCAGCACCTGTAGATCAATATGACAAGGAAAAATACCCCATACCGCACCCACAGGAACAGCATATTCCCTTCAGGATATTTCATCTGGCTGGTAGAATAACAGAAGGACTCTTTGATGGCTTTAGGTCCATCTCCCATTCACAGAGGCTGGCAGAGCTTCCTTGTGCGGTCTGCGCCAAGCTGAGGATGGTGCTCTGTACTTACTGCTCCTTCTCCAGCCCCTTTTCCCTGTACCATGGCCACAGAACTGCTCAGGCAAAATGGCTTGCCCCCAGCTTTTGAATGTCTGTCAGGTCTTTACAGCAAGAGAGAATTACAACCTGCCAGGTGGACCATAACACTGTTGGCTCATTGTTGTTCTGACTATTAAGAAAGAATAGGGAGAGACAAAAACCATTATCCACGGATTCTTGTGTGCTGAGGCATAGTATTTTAGCACAGTAACTCATTCAGTGTACTAGGAAACACTATATGGGGGCATGAACGAGGCTAACAAGAAGGTGCGGAGATTAGACGTGCCCTGCAAGGGGGAGTGCTGCTCAGAAATAAGATACCAAACAAGCTCTAGTGAGCTGAGCACCATATGGGTTTATCTCACCCTTTTAGCTCTGGTTCATGTTTACAGAGAATATTTCAATTCTGTCAATGCTTGTTTAGCAGTGAGCATTTGCCCACATGCTCAATGTGGGGCAGGCAGGTTATAAACCGTAATCTTCTGTAAGAAGATTAATAATGTGCTCTGTAGCATCTCAGTAAACAGAGCTATGCAGCAAGCTTGCGTTATCTTTCTCAAATGCCCACTCACTTTCAAGCGTCAAGAGAGTCCAATATTCAAGCTTTTGCTGTTGACCACGAAAGCTAAAAATGAAAACTGAGATTCTCATGTGTTCAGGGACAAAAGCTTGGGGACTCAGAGTCACCCTGCCACTCACCCAAAGCTCTCTTGGCAACAGCTGGAGGGAGATAGGCATTTCTGAGGGTAACTCAGCCCTTCTGGATCAACTTCATTGTCTCGGAAAGTCTTTTCTGAAACTACTGCAAAACATATATTCTACCTCAGGGACTAGGGACTAGGAACAAGACAAGGTGGTCTACAGCAAAATCTGTCTATGAGATCTGAGCACAACTCAGCTCGTGACATTGTCCCTCAAGTCTCGCAGGAAAGTCTCTTTCATCCTGTTTGGATGACTCAAAACCAGCTCCCTTGTTACTGCATGAACGATGTATATTCCCTGGATAAATATAAGGTTTCAGTAGATGAAATCATTCTTCTGGAGAGTTTTTAAGAGCCTAAATAACAGAAACCTAACTAAAAATGTCTCCAAGGCCATATTTGTGACATTGCACTCATCATGTTAAAACCCCTGGATCAGTCTACAGTCTAAAAACTGCATCTGCTAATATAATGGCTACATTTCATCCCCTGCAGATTTTCCCTTCAGAAATGGGAATGTAGATATATAAACTCCTGAACTCCTGGAAGTCTCTTCATTTCTGACTGGTGACAGCTCCTATGTGCCCAGACGCATCAGATTATCAATACCCTTCTTTTGCAATATTTTCATACCCAGAAGATTAACCAGGAGTGGTAGTGCTAAACTATATGCATCCCCCTTCCTACCTCAGAGCAGATGTTGTCTCAAAAGAGCAGACTGCCTTTGCATTTCAGCTATTGGGGTTCATAGTTACAGTTCATAGGAGTGGATGGTCACAAACCTGCTGCAATTTTGTAGGCTTATAATGGGAGATCTTTGGTTAAACAAGAAATCAGAGTTAAGATAGCAGAGTTAGGAACTCACGAGAAGTCATAAAGAAAGAAGATATTGTCACATATCTAGAATGCATGTTTCTTTAAGGATCACTTATTTTCTGCTGTCATTTTCTATACAGTTAGGGCCTGATCCATTTCTGTACAGCTAAGGCCTTTGGAGCCAGTGGAAAAACTCCCACTGATTTCATAGAGCATTAGAACATATCCCAGATGAAGTAGAAAAACGGGAATACTTTTTTGTGAGAAGGAATTGCTATGATACGCCTGAATCACAATTACTAAAGAGAGATGGTGTCATTCAAAGCCCTGCACAAAACCTATGAAGTCAACAGCAATCTGTCTACTTCAAAAAGCTTTCAAAACCTCTCTTGCACTGGCTTTAATCATGCAATCTTTAAGCATCTTTCTTTCATCTTAACAAGAGGGCTCTGCAATTATTCGATGCTTGCAAGGAGGAAATTCACTCTGCAATGTATCGTAAAGTAAAGTGATATTTACCAAGCCAATAACCTGTCTGTTCCTGGCTGCAGATGCTGAGTTGCTTGGAACATATGTACCATGATCTTGGGTTGGTAAAAGACTTCAACATCAATCCTATCACGTTAAAGAGGTGGTTGGTAAGTATTTCAAATTCCTCATATTTGCAGTTTTTCAAATTCAAAACTCAATAAACAAAACATTTAGTCATGGAATTAACTTGACTCACATGAGTAATCCCACTGAAAGCAGTCAATCTATACAAGTTCTTGAAATATAAGTACTTCAGCAAATGTTTGCATTCTTGTGGTAAAAGATGACTTTTTTTAACTGTTTTACATTTGTTTGCTGAGCTTTCTATTACTGAAAGCCATTCATTTCTGGTGAATGCTCTTGGTAGCTACTGTACATGGAGACAAGATGACTATCTTCAGATATGGCCAAACAAAGCCAGTATGTGCAATAATCATTACATGTCACAGGGAGTAAAAAAGCAAGGCAGGAAGGAAAAGGAATTGCTGAGAAGTTAAATAACTTTCTTTGCCTAGGTCTTTAATGTTGAGAATGTTGCAGAGATGCAAGTCATGATAAAGATGAGATCATACCAAAACCAAGATGTCTAAAGAAAAAACACTGGAGTATTTAAAAATCAATAACTTTTCAGGTCCAAGGGAAAGCATAAGAAAGAATTTTCTAAAAAGCTGAAGAATACATTGGCTTTCTCAGAAAAACCCATCATGTTCCTAGAGGACCGTAGAACAGTAAATATTTTACCTAGTGCTTAAAAAGGATCTAGGGATACCCTGAAGAGTTATGGTTAGAAAAACTTCTATCTCTACCTGACAAATTGATTGAAACAATAACTAAAAACATCATGATGTGAAGTTCATTATACAGATGTTTCATATGATTCCTGTAGCGAAGAATTATATCTCACTAATCTCTTCTAATAACCTGAAGAGTATGGACAGAATAGAAGGAACTGTTTTACATGACTGATGTAGACTCCCAGGAAGGCCTGAACAAATTCCACAAATTCAGAAGGTGGCTAGAAAACACAAAGCAAAACACTGGATTCATCATATCATGAAGTACAGCAAGAGCAAAAAGCACCTGGGCACCAGCGTACGCAGGGCAGTGACTATCACAGCTTGGTGTGCCGCTGCCGGCTGAAGCTAACGCGGCATTAGGCTGATCAGAGACCGGAATAAGGGATAAAATGGACCGATGTTAACGATGTATCCATAGAAGGCATAAGGCTTACCTAGAATTTATGCCTAGGACTGGTTAAGTCTTTTTAGAAGAATGGTATGACTACATTAAAGGAGATGTAAAAAATGATCGAGACCTGGGAAATCTCTCCCTGAAGAAGGCAGACGAAAAGCTCAGTATTGTTGACCTTAGAAAGCAGCTGAACAGAAGGGGTGGGACGAAACCCAATACAATCAAGGCTAGCATGGAGTAGATAAACCAGAAGACTTCCTCCTCCTGTCTCACAGTCTGAAAACATGGGAACAAGGTGATACGTCAACACACATCAACATGCTACCCACACATGCAGGCAGCTCCCTGTTAGCTTGTATCTCCCAAGTGATTTGTTACCACTAGCATTTAACACAGCCTCGTTCTGAACAACCAGGGGAGTTTATTACCTATTTTCTACAAAGGGTAGAAATTCTACAGAGTGACATTTCCTTTCTTAAACTCTAGCTTCGCAGAAAGAAAGATGATTAAAAAAAGCCCCAAGGACTCTGCTTCAAACTGTGATACTTCCCCAGGCACAGTATGGGCACCAGTTTGAACTTAAGTGGGTGAGGAAAAGCCACCTCATGCACGTGCTTGCTTTCTTGCTCCCACATCCACTGGCTACAGAAATGTTCCAGAAAGGGGAGGAAAGGATGACTAATACAACCCAGTCACTCCAGCCCTTCAGTGCTCTGAGTCAGGAGTCCCCCGGGATGCTCTGGGCTCCACTGCTGGATGTATACATTACATCCGTGCAGTGTTGTGCAGTGCCTGGGCATGACCACGGTGTCCATGTAGAAGCTGTGAGATACTGCCCACCACCTGCGAGCCTGGCTGTCAAATGTATTGTGCCATTAGTTATTCATTTTAAAATAGTGTAATGTATTTCTAAAGTCCTTGCTGCAGAATAATCTGAACAGCTTTTGCAATGAAGCCCCCAAATATTGAATAAACATTGAAAACCCACAGTTCTCTTGACCTCATCCAGAGCTTTGAGGCTTCCTAGAATTCACGTCCCAGGTTGAAGGGTCTGATCCTGATGAGGCTTGAGGACTCTCGAAGTAAATTCACTATTTAGCTGGAGAAGGGGACACGAATTCCGCCCATTCATTAATTCAGGCTCAGTAATTGAAGCATGTGCATAAGGGCTCCCTAGGGTCCAGGCTGTGGAGGATTCAGCAGAAGGGGTCCAGCAGTGCTGCTGATGCCTGGCTGTTTTGTGCAGGACAGGATACCAAAGGCTATCCAGTGCATTGGAAAAATGACTGTGGCATGTGTTAACCCAGCTGTGCCAGCTTCACTCAGCTAGCCCGGCTGACAGTAGCGAGGACACATGGGAAGACAAGCTTTAGCTTGCATTTGTAATGAGGGCACATAGCCAGGATCTGTAGAAAGTTAAAACACACAAAAATCAGTCCCATGTGCCTATATGGCTAAATCTCTCCCATGCTGCCTAGCATAGGAAAGCCACAGAGGTATGCTAGTTGCATGTGCATTCACATCTTCACTTTGCCAAGCAACACATCCCGAAGTGCCACCTCTGAGCATTTGCAAATGAAATAACAACTACATTTCAGCCTTGAGGATTTCAAAGCTGCAATTTGCATTCAGCGAGAGAGGGGAACGGGGATGTACTTTGAGCTCTTTACACACCCCAAAGTCACCGTTTAACCACCACACAGTTTGAAGTACAAATTCAGGATGAGAGCACAGAGTCCTGTCTCAAGACTGAGATGCACTTGCAGCTGTGCTGGGATGTTTACCCATTGCTAGCTGGTATGAGAGAGAAGCTGCTATATGAGCTTTACCTGCTTGACAAATTCTGGAAAGGCAGTAATCTCTCACCCCGCCCCAGGAAAGCAGACAGTGTCAGACGGCCTTGTACTGTCACTCTGTCCTAGCAGAAAATAATACTGGGCTCCACAGGACTCCTGTAGGGATATGCAGTGCTTCCAGGGAGGTTGGGAAGCATATGTAATCATGTTTTTATAAAGAAAGAGCTCTCCTGTCTCTGACTGCTTCATTCCCTCCCTCTGCAGCTGTGTATTCATGACAATTACAGAAACAACCCCTTTCATAATTTCCGGCACTGCTTCTGCGTGACCCAGATGATGTACAGCATGATCTCCCTCTGCAGCCTCCAGGTATGCCCCCCACCTCAATAGTATCACTCCATTTCCATCATGGGACACATGTTCGTCCACTGAGCACCATGACACCTGTGACACTTTTCTTGCAGAACAGGCCACCAGCTTGCTAGCAAGCGACGACCTTTGCAGTAGCTGCACTTGTTCAGTCCCTGGGGAGAGGAGGAGAGGTGTTGCATTTCCACCTCTGGCTGCCCGCTCAGCCATCCCATCCCAGACCCCAAGCACCTACACAGCTTTCTGAGGCTGCTGGGAAGACACTTTCACCTCCTGGGTATCCCCAATTTGTACACTGAAGATCTTTTGACACTCTGGTAGCATGAAACACCTATGAATCAGATCCAAAAGCCTACTGAATTATGGTCTGTGGATATGGTCTTCGTCTGTGACGCAAAATGTTCCAACAAAAGGTTTTCTCCAAATATGTGCTTGTACCTGGGTGAGCTACTGCAAATAATACCTTGCATGTACTGTATGCAAGATTCATATTTGACCTGTACTTTGTCCAAAACTATAGGCATCATTTATTTTCATTGACTGGATAACCTGTGTATATAGATTCATTTCATTTCTGTACAAATCAGATTTTATTCAGTTTAAAAACACCTTTCTTCTCCATAGTTAAACGTTTCAGTTACTGGCCTAAGTCTATTTTCTTGTCAATAAGAGTATGAAGAAAAACTTTCTTTAATGGAAGTTCATCCTATTTTGAAGCTATGGGAACGCAACACTTAATTTTTCTCACTCTTTTCATAACTTCAGTTAATGCAGAATGCAATGGCAACTAAGCTATGTTCCAGCCCTCCCTTAACTAATCAGGATGCTGGAATGACTTGTAAGCGACTGTACTAATATCTCAGCGCTTTTATATGATCTCTGCAGTAATAGCAAGTTTCAAGCAAATTGCCTCCTCTGAGCTGCTGTTATTTAATGCAACAAAGGCAAATCTGAGTCATTTTTATTGGAAAGGAAGGCAGAATTCTCTTTCTTGACTGACGTAAATTGATCTATGGAAAAATACTTCGTTTTGCTCAGATTTGCATTTCTCTAAAAAGTAAACGTGGGTGTTTTTTTCACTTCTTTTCATTTATGGGGATAGGGGAAGTAGAAATCATAATACTACATTAATATTTCATATTTTACAGGAGAAATTTTCCCAAATTGACATCTTGATTCTCATGACTGCAGCAGTATGCCATGACTTGGACCATCCAGGCTATAACAATACGTAAGTCTGTCTCTTGCTTTGTCTTCCCTTAAAATTTATTGGGAAGGTAATACCAGCTGGCATTTTTGGTAGATCAGCTTTTCCTTCTCACAGCTTGAGCTGGCCACGACCTTCCCCCAAGGCCCTGCTGTTCACTCACACGTGGGCCAAGGCAGAGCTTCATGCAGAAACCTCAGGTCTGGGTTGGGGTTGCCAGCTGTCCTTGGCTCAGTAAGGAAAATGATTTTTCAGATTTCTGTTCCAACACTTTCCCCCACTCCTGAGAAAACACGGTAAAATGTTTTATGGCTGAGAGAGAGGCCATAAATTATTATAGCTCCATTGACTGAAATGGAATAATTACACTAAAATGCAAAGGGTGATTTAACTTACGTATTATTTCATAATTATAAATCATGAAGTGCATGTTATTCTATTTATTATCATGTGAGAAAATTAGAATTGTTGACCCATGGACACTTTTGTGTGCATGTATGTGTGTGTGAAAAAGAGAGTGAGAGAATCTAATTTATTTGTAGCCATTCATTAAATAAGGGCAGAACCCAATTCTGACTTGGATCAGTGAGAACTTCTCCATTGACATTAGTGGGGGTTGAATGAAGCCCAGGCAATTCCTTCTGTGTTTGTTCTGTGTCATTTTAAGCTACAGAGACTTGGCAAAATTAAAAAAAAAAACCAAACATTTACAGGGGAATAGTGCCTGAGATTATATTAAAGTAATATCTATATCTTCTCTAAAAATCTGATTTAGTATTAACAATCAAAAAACAAATGGCAGCTAATTGAATAAGTATTGAAAAGAATGTAAATAAAAGTGAGCAGCATGGTTTAGAGCAGCTGGTGTGTGTCTGCAGGAGTTCTCATTGTTTTTCTTCACATCAGCTATCAGATAAATGCACGAACTGAGCTTGCAGTACGCTACAATGACATCTCCCCACTGGAGAACCACCACTGTGCTGTGGCTTTCCAGATCATTTCCCAGCCAGAATACAACATTTTCTCCAATGTCGACCAGGACCAATTCAAACAGATAAGACAGGTATGAATGCTGCTCCCATCTGTGTCGTACAAACTGTTCCTGAAGATGTAAGCACGCACAGACTTCCCTGCTGTACAATGTGAGTGAATCATTCTCCCTAGAGAGCAGGACTGAAAAAGCCCCTCACACTGGAAGGATCCAAGAGGGATTCTTGGAAAATTTCCACAGCAACACTCCCTGGAATGTCTTGCTGAGAAATAACGAGTACATCCTGACTATTAAAGCCGACGACATTTTGGGGGGTAGATATTTATATTATTGAAGGAACCAATTAGCTCTGACTGGGAAAGGATTAAGCGCTCATGGCAGAAGTTTATGCTTTAAGAGAACATTGTATTAATTTTAGGATGGGCTTCAAAATGGGAAAAGATTTACAACAGCAGAGCACTTGTACTGTTGGAGGAGGCTCTAGTGGACTGGGAGCCATCACAGTTATCTCTCAGACAGTAAACAATGCTAGAATTCCCATTAGAGCACTAAGGGCCAAAATTCGGTCTTAGTTTCCACGTTGTATCTTCCTTATACACCAAATGAAAAAGCAGACCAATGTAAGGGCTCAGATATCGGTCTGGTTTGAGTGATTCTGCCAGTGCATGGGAAGCAGGCATGGGTCCAAAATGGATAGATCTGTATGAAAACCCACGAATTTAAATTAACATTTTCCCATCATAAACTCTGCCTAGCAGGAGGATACAGAGCTCCTAACACATTGGCTGCGTCTGGGTATTTCAAAGCCCTTAATCCAAGGAGGATGAGCACAGAGGGCATCCACATCTACTGATCTTTGTCTCTTCCTAGAGCCACTGAGAGTCAGCAGCAAAACCTATAGTGCTCTCCAAGGAGCCAAAAGCAAATCTTGGCAAACAGAGTGTGGCTTTTAACATCCTGTTGTACAGTTTCTTTTTCCACAGTTAGTCAGTCAGAAAGGAAAAACCTCAATGCCTCTAGAATATCGCACCAGTGTTACGGATTGATCCAACCATGATCTTCATATGCCATGAACTCTTTATAACCCTCTTCCAGTTTGCTTGGCAGTTTCAAGTCAGAAACTTCGCCTTTCAGTGTTAACAAATGTAATGCATCTGAGGCTTTTTGTGTGTAAGAAAGACCCGACTTTGCTCTGCAATAGTAGACATTGTAAAGAACGTCAAGTTAATATGTGAACATATTTTCTTTGCTAGGGGATAATTACGTTAATCCTGGCTACAGACATGGCGAGACATGCAGAAATACTGGACTCTTTCAAGGAAAAAATGGAAAATTTTGATTACTCAAATGAAGAACACATGACCTGTGTAAGGAGGTTTTGTAGATTATTATTTTTCTGTGCATGGTGTGAAAACTTGTAGCTTAACATGCGTTTAAAAACCAAGATTCGATATACATTATCAAAAATGAATCCTTCCTACATCCTCTGCCCCACCAAAAAGAATTAAAATTTGGAAGTGCTCTATATAAAATAGATTATTCCAGCTTTAGAAATCCTCGAGTCCCATCAAGAAAAAAAAAGTATATTTACTCTGTCAGGATACAAATTCTTATTGTCCATTACTGTGGGGCAAAAAGTATCCACAAGAGTACAAACGCTAGTCTCCTCTACTTCTAATCCAGTTGTCTCTGACATCCAGGGAAGCCTCTCCCCAGCTGCCACTGAGTGCTCCACAAACAGCTTCATGGTTATTTGTGGCTGCAGCTCTTCATGCAGCAGATAAGCACACGTCCCACTGTGGCACATCCCAGTGCTACAGACAGGGAAACTGAGGCAGAGACAAGTGATTTACACAGGGTAACTGAGCGAGTGGAAAAGAACCCAGATCATTTACGACCTCTGATTTAATCCTAAAACTGTCCTTTCTGTTTGAAAACATTGCCTCCCATTGCATTGTAAAGACACAGGTTTTGGATGGCAGAAAAAGGGCTGGCATTAAGACTGCAGTATTAAAGTATTATCCTCTTTCAGCTGAAGATGGTACTGATAAAATGCTGTGATATCTCCAATGAAGTCCGCCCGATGGAAGTAGCGGAGCCCTGGGTAGATTGCTTACTAGAGGAATATTTTATGCAGGTAAGAACGAGGGAGAGACGCAGTTGCACAAACTGCTGCTCTTCCCGAGTCCCACCTCAGCTACAGGTGCTCTGCTGTCTGACAGCCCAGTCTAGCTCTAGGATGGAAAGGCATCTTTTTTACAGAAAGTGGGAGAAGGCTGTCAGCAAGAAAAGCTGTTCAGAAAGCAAGTGAATGCAATTGACTGTAATTTGCAGATGAATGACAACAGCAACCTAGAAACCCTAATGCTAGCAGACTGAAGCTTGTTCTCTGTAAAGAGGCTGCCTTGCAAGTTCACTTGACATATAAATGACTTTTGAGCCAAAAGGGAAAAAAGCAGTGGCAAGAGAAAGTTGTCAAGTAAATGATATCAAATATCACACAGGAACTAGTTTAGATAATTTTCACTATGTGTGAACATTTCCCTAAAGAGAAAGCAGACAACTTGCCGAGGCGTGCAAAGTCAGACTTTACGCTCCCCAGACCGTTGCTCCTCACTGGATTCCCAGCCGGACACAGTTTCTGACTGCTTAAAAAAGGATCCCTGGAAGAGCAGCCTTCAGCTGTCTCCGGCACACAGCTCCCGAGCAGCGTGTACGTGCTGCAGCAGTGGGATCTCAAGAGACACACAGCTGCGGTGCTCTGAGGAGGAGATGCCAGAGCTTTCCTGTGTGTTTTGTCTACACCTTGATAGGGTGCATGCTGAGGAGGGCTTCTCACAAGAGACAGACACCTCGGATGATGTGTCAGAAACACTCCTCGCTCACTGCATCTGCAGCTTTTTACTCAAAATTGCATTATCATCTGTGTGCCTTACTGTTTTGGCCACCCAGCGAGAGCACTGTGTGCCGAAAGATCCAATAACTGAGAAATAAAGTCTGCTACAGGGTATCTTTTCTGCACGCACAGCCTGTGACCTCCTTGCACATGAACCCCCATAGAAACAGTGAGTTACGCCGTCAAGTAGGCAGCTTGGTAAACCCATCACAGTCAATGGAAATGCTCTCCATTGACCCAGCTAGCCAGAACTAGTTTGAGTCGTCAGTAAAGAAGGATATGTAATTTCTGGTTGAATACCCAAAAATAATCACTCTCTGGAGAATGATGAGGAAATCAAAGACCTATTCCTTCTCTTCCAGAGCGGCAAAAGCCATTACCATCTTTCTGAATGTTCAGAAATAATTTCCCTCACAAATCCCATGGGTTTGCAAAGGGAACCAGGTGGCCTCATCGTCCTGTAAGCCTGGAGGTGAACGCTTTCATGCCAGTACTCTGCGGATGTAAAAGAACAGAGTTCTCTTTATTCAGACGCTTGCTCTCAACAAAGTAGGATACATTGGCCTGAGGGAAGCATATTGCTATTCTGTGCTGTCTTCAGACACCACTGAGATCTGTATCTGAAGGCCACTGCTCTTTAGCTAGTGATCTACTTGGTACATCACTCTCCTCACAGGCTTCTAGCCAAGACTTAATATTTGTTAACTCTGGCTTTGTTCCAGAGCGACCGAGAAAAATCTGAGGGGCTTCCAGTGGCACCATTCATGGACCGCGATAAAGTGACCAAGCCGACAGCACAGATCGGCTTCCTGAAGTTCGTTCTCATCCCCATGTTTGAAACAGTAACAAAGGTAAGTCACCCAAGGCCAGGAGCAGGAGCGGGGGCGTGCAGAGCTTCAGCGTTTGCTCCGGCAGGTGTTTAGTTAGCCAGGGAAATGGGGATGTACAGTTCACACCCTGTCTTTCGCCCCATTTCTAGCGTGTACAAGTTAATGAATAGAAAAGGAAAAGCTGATGATATTCTCTCTCTTGTTTTCACCTAGCTATTCCCAGAAGTGGAGGAGGTAATGCTCCAGCCCCTTTGGGAATCCAGGGACCACTATGAGGAATTAAAACAGATAGATGATGCTATGAAAGAGGTAAGCACTAAATATCTCTTTGATAAAGCAAACGTTATGATTTAATAAGTCAAACATTATAATGTAATAGCAGCTTAATTCTGAAAAAGTAGGAATGCTTATGGCATAATCATAATCATGAGAAACACATTCATTAGACCTGGCTGGAGAAAGGCGTGTACCATGAGCAGAAAGTGTGCACAAGAGCGTGCTCTTGCAGAGTCGACCAGGCACCACACAAGTACAGCCGTGGGAAGGGAGCCGCTTGCAAGAGAGGGACCTCGAGGCAAAACCCAGAGATAACCACCTGAGGGGAGTGTGTTAGCTAACACCTCTTCCTGGAGGGAGCTGGAATTTTATTTTCTGGGAAGAAACTTCCACTCACGTGTCTATCATCAAGGATGTGCTTGAAATTTTATGAGGAATTGCCCTCTAATACACAGCACCCAGTACAATTAAACACACAACCAATGAAGCCATTTTATGGCCCAGGCTGGGTGGGGACCTCCCATTTTGTCTCTCATTTTGACATGTAAGGCTTAGGGGAGGTAGGATATACATGTAACCGCATTTGCTTGTCTCTGACCACATCGGCGTTGCCTCAGGAGCCTGACAGGGTGGAGACCGAGGCTAGGCCCCGGGAGCAGTTGCCCCATGCCCGCAGGGCAGCAGCCGGCGTGCTGGCCCGGCTCCTGCAGTGCCCTGCAGCCTGCGACACTGGGCCTGCGCGCCTTCCTTGCACGCTTCTTCCAGTGTTTCTTTTCCCTGCCAAGGCAGATGACAAAACCAGCCCAAATGGCATTGCAGTGTAGGGGTTTTCTGACATGAACAAATTTATCATGTAGACAGAATACTATCAGTCACTCTGTCATCAAAATAAATTGGGAAGTACCCTGGAGCACTACTTGTGCTGATATTGTTTGATATGTTGGAAATGAAGGTTCATTCACTTGATCATCCTTGGCTGGATGAGAGGAATAGTAGCTTTTTGGTGTAGCTCCTACCCCTTCTCCCAAGTGCTTTGGAGGAAAAGCCCCTCAGCAGCACAAATACTAAGGCTGGTTAATCAAAGAGCACATGCTTTGACAGCACTAAGTTATAAATAAGAAGAAAGTCTTTTAGACATTCTTCAGTTTAGAGTGGAGCATTTCTCAAAGGAGGGAAGAACTCAAATATGACTGCCAGACTTTCTGGGTCCTATTTGTCTTTCAAATTGAGCTGAGATTTTACTTCTGCTTTACAGAAACTGTCAAACCAGAAATTTTATACAAACTGATGGAGCTTTAATAATGGTGTATTGGCACAAGAGGTCTTAGGAAAATAGGAGCTGCCTGAATTCAGAAATATCCTGAAACAAGAGGAGTTAGTTAATAATCCTAGAGCCTAGCATGGCAGATGATGAGAAACACTGAGTACTGTTTACTCAGGACATACATCCAGAGCTGTTTGGATTAAATGGTGCCTGTGATATACCATGCTGCTGCCTATTATTTCCCAAGAAATGTTGCACATGCCTTGTGGAGAGATGAGCGTTCGGCTCACAGCAGCAGAGGAAAGCGGCAGTGTGTGAGTCGGGGGTATTAATCCTGCTTTGCTCTTCATTTCAGCTGCAGAAAAAGAAAAGTGAAAGTTTGACCACTGGCGGTACCGAAAAGTGAGATGAAAAAGACTTTGAGCAAAACATAAGCCCTAAGGTTATTCTGTTTTCGAGAAATACTGTATTTGCCAGACAGACATGGTGGCTACGTCAAAATCCAACTGGGACGATGTACGCAGAGAGGTGGCAGGCACGGATGCCCTGCCTGCCTGTCTGCCTGCCCAGGTGCCTTGTCTACAGCCCGCAGCCTGCTCCCACAGGCGCTGCCGCCATTGGGCGCCAAGGGCCCCCCTCACTCCGGCATGCCCACCGCAGCCCCCCGGGCAGGACTTCCCCTGCGGACATTGCACAGGTTGCAGCATGGCTCAGATCTGCAGCAGATTTGCCTTTTTGGTGACCACGCTGACCACAGTCTGTAGAGACAAAGTGGAGTTTAGCTAAGGAGCCTTTTCTGGAAAATGATCCACTGGCATCCAAAAACAAACGAAAAAGTTTTTTTTAGTCAACATACTATATATATGTGTACAGCAGTATGCTAATTCCAGCATAGCTTAACAGATGCTTATATTCTGACCGGGGTCCTGGCATATATTTTTGTTTGCCTAGTAGGCCCTAATGACACATTTCTGCATTATTCTCTGAATTTTATAGTGTTCACAGTACATTCAGAAGCCCAGCACAGTGGATGCATTTTTTTTTGTTTTCTACACTAGAAGAAATCAGAAGAAACCTTAGTGCAGGTTCGCTTTGTGGCCTGGTACAGCTAGACGTCACAGGATCCTTCAGCACGAGCAAAGAAGGGAGCACAAAGCTGAAACCACTGTGCAAGCACATTTTTATCCTGGTGGATGCAAAAAGCAACAACAAGAAAAACCTTCAAAGATGTACAGATTTTTTTTTTAACTTTTAAACTGATCTGCTAAATAATATATTCTTCTACAGAAATGGGTGTTGTGCCTGTTTTCTTTTGTGTATGCGTTCTCGTGAGAACTGTGTCTGTTCCTAAAGACAAATGCTTTCATAATGAATACAAGGTAAGGGACTGTAAAGGAGAGGAGAGGGTCGGTTCTCCTTAAGAAGAGAAGCTTTACAAACATTTTTTGTGGTATACTTGCATCATAAGCGCAATACCAAAAGAGCTTCACTTCCCTTGGTGACTTTGTAAAGGCTGGGAGCCGAGCTCTGCCCACAGTTGCAGTCATGCAAACAGACAGCAGGCAACGCTGTGATCGACTCCTGTGTGCCGCCTCGCCAAAGGGGGGGGCAGAAGAAATTCCCCTTCCTTGTGCCCATGAAAGGTGAGCCGCAGCCACGCTGCTCACCTGCTCCTGGCTTCTCCCACTGGGGAAAGGTCGCCCTCGCTGGGGGTTTCAGCGGACAGGATCAGTTCCTATCAGGGCATGGCTGCTGCGACCAGGGATTCGCTTGCACCCTGGCTTGCTGGCATCCTCCCCCGCCGGCAACCATAGGCATGCAGCCAGTGAGCATCATGCGTGTTGCACCAATCCTCCCTGGCTCAGTTCGCGAGGCTGCCCCATCAACTTTGCTAGCTGTGTTAGCAATAAGGGTAACACTAGTGCTGTGCCTCTGCAAAGTCCCAAGCCGCATGCGTTGTCTCAGCTTGTTTTTCTAGAAGAGATGAGCAGGTGGGGGCCAATCTTTCCCCTCATGACCCAGAAAATCCCTTAGGAAGCTCAGCCTCTCTGGCAGGTACCTAGTACCAAGCTCACCTCTGAACAACAAACCCAGCCTCCTGCTCTGGAAATTCAGATTTATTCTCCTGTTGTTTCTGCATATTAATTCTGAGCTTAAGTCTTGTTTCTCCCCCAGTGCCATTTCCCATGTTTGGTCTCTTTCTTTTGCACAAAACTGCATTACGTCAGATACTCTCCAGTCTCTCAGGGAGATCAATATTACCTTGAAACACCCATCCCTCTACCCTGTTCCTGCTTGCGCATTTCCAGAGACCCAGGACAGACCCACAGCTAGTTCTCTCTGCTGGTGCCTCTTTCTGCCCAAGCTGCCTTCTCCTTTAAACAGCTTTTTGTGTGTGTGGTTTTGGGCTTTCTGCTGCAAACTGGAAAAGGGTCTGATCCCTGGATTTGAACAGTCCTGGGGGACCCCAAGGGAGACGGAAAGATCCAAGCACAGGGTCAGCTCCAAGCTATGCAGACATCTTCATGAATGGATGAACTGAATGCTAGTTTAGATTAACCTCAAACTTTTGACGCTTCAAAGTTGGATCTGAATTATGTGGTTTGGGCCTTTTTTCCGTACTAAATCTTATAATCTAAAGTACATCGTGACCCAGATTGTTCTGCTGTGGAATTCTTCACTTCTTTTTCACAAGTAAATCAAATTTACCATCTCCACTCAAGCGGATTTCCGTCACAAATCAGCTCCCAAAGCAGATGAGCTGTGCAGAAGCTGTAAACAATTGCTTAGGATATGCCAAGTCCAAATCCTGCACTGAGGTAGTTACATTAGATGAGAAAACCTGCTGTAGGAACTTGACTGCACCCTCCTCCCACTACAACTGTTTAAGAGTTAGATCCTGATAGGAAGTTTTGCTTCAGTTGGAAGGATTTTCTTGAACCGTAAACCCTAATCCAACAAGTATTTATGCATGCGTTTAACCTCCACAAGCCCAGTCATGGACCCTGGTGTACAGCAGCTAATTGCATAGTGCAGGCTCCTTCGCTTTCTCTAATTGAAGTGCATGGGAGTTTGAGAGTTGATGGCCCTCAGTGCTTGTTTTGACTCCATCATTTTTAAGAGCAACCTGAAAACTGTTTACTGGAGAGAGATGATCAGAAGAGGTTGGTGAAATCCCGCTGACTTTATTGGAGCTGCATCAGAAACGCGGAGAAGCGAATGCAACCCTTCCTCAGGGCTGCACTAGTGACTGTCAGGAGGCTGTAACACACTGTGCGGGTTATTGAAAGAACAGGCAACATCCAGGCTGCTATTCATAGACAGCTGTAAAAAAGACCACATGCAATCACAAGTAGCTATTGGTATAAACGGGAATACCACAGCATTTTTTAATCTCATTTGCCTTTGTAATATTAGATTTCTAAGAGACAATCCTCCCAACATATGTTTAACCAGGGGGAATGCAAGGCATTCTCTCATAATTCTAGTTTCTTATACTTTTTCCATAATATTTGACGCTGTGATTCATATGCAAATTAACAGATTCGAGAATCTTGGCAATCAGCCCATTAAAATGTCACACAGTTTCAGGATGATATTTTAAAACTACACTTAGCATGAAAATGAAGTTTTTTGAGGCAGCCAGACAGATGTCTCAAGTGTGATTTAATCTTTTCTCTCCCTAATCCAATGAATAAAGAGTGAATATTATATCTCAGTGTTGTTGTTTCAGCTTACGGTAGGTGCCTTACAAAGAACTTTCTATGATCTGTGGCGTGCATCTTTGCAGCATCATGACGGTGCCACATGCATCCCAGCCTTACACTGCTACTCCCATACCTGTGTTCAAAGATGAACATGAAACAGATTATAACTATTCCATGCCGCTTAGCTTGGAAAACTAACAATGAGCCCTGGGATTTTACTTCTTTTTTTTTTTTTTAAAACGATGAGATCCCACAGCCCCATACTCACTTCATTTTTTAGTGTGGCTTTCATAATCGGACCAAACTAAGGCTGTAGCGTAACTGCATGTCTTGGGAAGGAAACAGCTTTTTAAAAGTGGGAATACCCCCACAGCAGCCAATTTGCAATGAAAATTTAGTGTGTGTTAAATACATGGATTATGTAATGCCAAAGAAGTATCTGTACATGGAAATTGTTAATCTCAGTGCTGCCTCTGAGCAGCAATAATAACAGCATCTGTTCCATATGAGAGCAAAGCAGAGCGCTGGTGTGGAGTATGAGCCCATCAAGAGAAGCGCTGGCAAGCAGCATTCAATTTTCCTGTTTAACAGTGGGCTTGTCCTGCAAACTGGCCCTTCTATCTGGAAACATCTTCCCAGCATTTCTCCCCGTATTTACAGCTTTCCCACACTATCGTCTTGATTTCCCTGTGGCAAGGCAGGGTGTAAAACACAGCAGCATGCCTGCTAGTGACAAGGAGCGCTCAGCCCCAGCCTGCAGGAAGGATGTTTGTGAAAGGACAGCTCTCATGTCAGGCCATCCAGCTGCTGCTCTGACTCCCAGTGTAAAAAAATTACTTTCCAAGAGGTTGCTCTGGAATCAGGCACATCCCAGCTCCAGGCTGTGGTCCAGAGGACACCAGGGAGGTCTTGCCCTCCTGAGCCACCCCTCTGGACGCACAACCCTCTGCCGCGCAGCACCCTTGCGATTAAGGCTGTTCAGTGCCGGCAAAGTGAAGCAAAGACTTTCTGAAGTGTGTTTAAAACTGCTTGGATGCTTCTTTTCTAGGCAACATGACAGTGCAGCAGGCAATCTCTCCATTCTCTCAGCTCTCCAGGGGAGGCCCTAGGCAGAAGTAAAGTTTGTACTCCGAAAAACTGGTACATTGCAGCCCCGGCCTGTGTGTGGGTGCTATGATAGCACAAGAAACCACCAGTAAGTCTTAATAACAAACCTAGCTCTGCCACTGGCTTCAAATACCACCTGGGGTGAGTCACCAAGCCAGGGCTTCCCTCTGCTTTCAAACAGAGACCGACCTCTGCCAAGCACCTTGTGGTATTCGGATGTAAAATGCTCCTCACTGCAAGAACCAAGAGTTACCATTTTCAGAAAATATCACTTCGTAGAAACTTCTAGCCAAAAAAACTTATTAGATGTTCTCATAAATGAAGAAGCTGTAACCAACAAGTCAAACATCTCTTTCTTTCCGATCATGTTGTAGTAGATCTGGCTCTTTGCTAGCGAGAGGCCATACTTCTCACTATCATCTCACACACGCAAAAAAAGCTTTCTGACTATTTTGGCATGTAATCAGGAATTACAGGTGTACTCAGGCACATGCACACACACAAAATGGCTATCTGTAGACATTTTTATAATACCGCTCTTGGCTCTGTTGCAAGACAAACTTAGAACCAGGAGGGTTTGGAAAGTGTAAAC